TTTATGCGTTTCATACGTCTATCATTTAGCTCATCAAATTAATTTTTCTGGATTTTTTTTTCAACAACGTTAGAACAACAAATTTTTGTAATCTATAAAATATCTTACCCAAATTGTTTAAAAAGAAAAATTAAGAATTAAAAAAAAATCAAAATCGTGCTGAAACACGCATAGACACAAAGATAAGAGAATAGGAATGTTTATGCTAAAATACTGCCTCAGAACGCTGGAAAGCGCATCTAGAGAGTTTAAGATTGTAAAATTTTYCGGGGCAGCATGCCCCCGCCCCCCTACCTTGCAACCGCCCCCCGGTCCCCTTCCTTGCAACCGCCTTCGAATTCCCTCCACTCTTTGGGCCGCTACGCGGCCCCTACTTAGACCCTATCCGGGATTGTTTGATATTCTGAAATACAGTAATCTTACTATACCCCTGAAAATTAAAACATACTTGTCCAGTAATGTGTAATAGTCAATCATATAAGTAAGTACAATCGACAAGTTTGGAAATTTAGAAGCTACTCTGCAGGATCAAGCCAAGGTTTAAAGACGAGACTCCTGTACCGAGTCAACCAAGCAAAGAATATAATTGTCGAAATTACAACAGAGAGCTAAATAAATCAACCAATTAATATAACCAAGCAACTTCCAAATTGTCGAGAAATAAGATCAGTTGGAATGAAAATGAACTAAGCTTACCTACGAACATTGTTTCACATTCCTGTATAATTTCAAGTATAAACTTACTGTAGGCACTAAAAAACGTTGAAACGTTCGCTGGGTTGTTGAAACTATTTCTGTATTTAACTTGAATCAGTCGAAGTACAATAAGAAGAATAAGTTCACAGTAAAGTARGTTGGGTAATTTGATCGAATGAAACGAGTGAGTCGAGTGAGGTTTCTAAACAAAAACAAACAAAATATTACAAACTAATATGAATATAAGGAAAATAATGCACTAGTTACATACCTGACGGTTAAAAGTCCTACATAAATTTATGATACGAAAAATTAAACGAATAATACTACGGATGATTTTGCACGTGTAAAACAAAACTCGAAAGTAAAAAGCTACCGCGCAGGCCTGGGTCTGATTTACCTTTTTTGGTAATTTATGTTAATTCGTTGTTACACTTACTTTAGCAGGACTCCACGGGTTCCAATTGGTTGCAATCTTCGTGGTAGTGTCAACTTCTGAAAAATGAGGATAGTGCAATAGGCCACTGGACCACGAGTGGAATTTGAAGATTGTATTAAACAACAAAGAGGTCTGATGAAAAATTTCTCGACCTCCAATGCAAAGCTGCACTAGAAAACGTCAGGAGTTCTGAAATTAACCGCTTCAAATTCGATTATATAAATAAAAGCGATAAAGTCTAACGCGCAGGCGCGAGTTGCTTGATTGTAAATCAAGTCAGTTTGTAATCAACCAATAGGGTGTCTTGAAACCCTTGAATCTCCAATTATCATCACAGCTGCTTCACGTTTTCAGAAACGAACTTTCAACCCGTACGAGCTTCGTGACAAAGCAATATAAATAGCGACTTATTATTCTATCAATAAAAGCAAATTCAACAATAAACATTTCATAATAAAGTAATCAAGTTAAAAAGCTTGACCATTCGAGAATACTATCTTAATTGTGTTACTTTATGGAAACGCGTTGACACTGAAACAGTGATCGATGATAGGATACATGAAACGCTTAGGTTCACCCACTTTCATATTTGAAATCAGTATCTGTAATAATCGTATCTTTATTCTCGACTTTCACATCCCCATAATGCCTTGCGTTTTGGGGGGGGGGGGTAACCAATCAAAAAACTGTCCCAAATTGAAAGGTTTCTTAATTGAATTTTTACTATACCTGCTTTTATCTGTACAATACTGATTATCAGTTTATTCCAAGTTATTTTTGCGTGTACAGATCATCAAGAGTTTTGGTCTTACAGAAAATGTATTGACTTACGAAAAAAATGTTTAAAATTGACCTTAAACGTCTTCAAGCTTCTATCATTTTCTGTTTTTTACTTCTTCATTTTATCTTTGGATACCAAACAAGGTATTTTCAACATTGTCTGATCAGCCTTCAGCAAAATAAGTGGGTTGTGAAAGTCGAGAATAAGCCGAAGTGTCTTTAGATATTCATTTGTTGTTCCATCTACATATATCTATTATTTTCCGAGCTTGAACGACAAGTGAATATTTTTTAAACGAATGTTTTGATCAAACACATTTCATTCTTTGAAAAAGAAATCCTTTTATTTTTAGTCGTCCTTTTCTCGTGTTCGAGAGAATATTCTGCCTCATAGTTGAAAGCGTTTCCGGTTAATTACGGGTATTCGAAAATTAATCTATCTCCGTGAAGGCAATTAGCAATAGACGTCATCTAGAGTAATTTATTACTAGCGGTAAGTTAATTGATGATTTGTGTAGGAAGGAAAAGGAATGTTCTTTTGATTAACTTCCATTCATAACAAATGAAAACCAACTTGTTATGTGTGCCAATATACGGTAATATAGATTTTTGAACGTCACTGACCGATTTTTCCCCTAAGGCTTCAACTGTGACTCATCTATTTCTGCTTCGTGTTCTGTCTATTGCTAATCATATATACTTATTTCAATAAAGGTAGTCACCAAAAAGCTAGAAAGCAGTGATCGCTGAGAGTCATGGGAAATATTTCATATCCAACAAGTAAAGTTTTCGACACAAACTGCAGCAGTTGAGGATGCTAAGAGGAGGTTAACTTGTAACTGGTAGAAGATCTCAAGTCCATCAACAGTTATCAAGCGCTTGAAACATGTAAAATGTATCTACCCATAATCCTTGTCGGTCTCAGCTTTGAACTTTATTGAAATAAGTGTATAAATGATGTCAGAAATGCTTTGATTCGTTAAGCGGTTTACTGGACAGTATGTGTCCATAGCTTGTCTCATCAGTTGGTTTAATTTTTGTTTTTTTTTTATTTCTCGTCTTTTTTCTTGTTTTTCTTTTTTTTTTGTTTTGTTTTGTTTCACTTTTGTTGTTGTTCTTGTTGTTTTATGCTATTGTTCAGTTTTGTTTTTTTTTTAATCTTTTAGCTTCGAAGCAAATCCTTAACTTTTCTCTTTCTAGGTCTGCATAATGACTA